GATGGATGGGCGGATGGATGGGTGGATGGATGGGTGGATGGATGAAGGTAGATGGGCACATGGAGAGGCTGACAGATGGAGGGGAGGTTGAAAGGACAGATGCTCTGACAAGGAGCCATTTTGAACTCTGTCACTTTTGTTTTTCAGGCCGTCCCCCACCTATCCTGCCCCTGTGTGCCTCTGTGTCTTTGCTGGGCGGCCTCACCTTTGGATACGAACTGGCGGTCATTTCGGGTGCCCTGCTTCCCCTGCAGCTTGACTTTGGCCTAAGCTGCTCAGAGCAGGAGCTCCTGGTGGGCAGCCTGCTCCTGGGGGCTCTCCTCGCCTCCCTCGTGGGGGGCTTCCTCATTGACCGCCATGGCAGGAAACAGGCCATCCTGGGCAGCAACGTGGTGCTGTTGGCAGGTAGCCTGGCCCTGGGCCTGGCTGGCTCCCTGGCCTGGCTGGTCCTGGGCCGCTCGGTGGTTGGCTTCGCCATCTCGCTCTCCTCCATGGCCTGCTGCATCTATGTGTCAGAGCTGGTGGGGCCGTGGCAGCGGGGAGTGCTGGTGTCCCTCTACGAGGCAGGTATCACCGTGGGCGTCCTGCTCTCCTACGCCCTCAACTATGCACTGGCCGGTGCCCGCTGGGGATGGAGGCATATGTTTGGCTGGGCCGCCGCGCCCGCTCTCCTGCAGTCCCTCAGCCTCCTCTTCCTCCCTGCTGGTGCAGACGAGACTGCAGCCCACAAGGACCTCATCCCACTCCAGGGAGGTGAGGCCCCCAAGCTGGGCCCGGGGAGGCTACGGTATTCCTTTCTGGACCTCTTCAGGGCCCGGGACAACATGCGAGGCCGGACCACAGTGGGCCTGGGGCTGGTGCTTTTCCAGCAGCTGACGGGGCAGCCCAATGTGCTGTGCTACGCCTCCACCATCTTCCACTCGGTCGGCTTCCAGGGCGGATCCTCAGCTGTGCTGGCCTCCGTGGGGCTCGGCACGGTGAAGGTGGCAGCGACCGTGACCGCCATGGGGCTGGTGGACCGCGCGGGCCGCAGGGCCCTGCTGCTAGCTGGCTGTGCCCTTATGGCCCTGTCGGTCAGCGGCATAGGCCTGGTCAGCTTTGCCGTGCCCATGGACTCGGGCCCGAGCTGCCTGGCCGTGCCCAACGCCACCGGGCAGACAGGCCTCCCTGCAGACCCTGGCCTGCTAAGGGGCTCATCTCCACCTCCAATGCCAAGCACCAGTGAGGACCGAAGGGAGCCAGTCTTGTCCACCAAGCCCCACTCCGGAGCTGGAGACACCGCGGCCTCACCCGCGCCAGCACTGAGCACCGCCTTCCCGGCGTACCCGCCCGCCTCCCCCGGGCCCGCGCTGCTGCGCTGGACGGCGCTGGTCTGCCTCATGCTCTTCGTGAGCGCCTTCTCCTTCGGATTCGGGCCGGGTGAGCGGCGTTTCCCTGCAGATGCCCTAGTAGTGGGAAGCTGGGGGGCTGCACAGTCGGGGTCTCTGAGGGGCGCCAGAGGTGAGTTGACCACGAAGCTTCAGGGCTCTTCCCAGGGCCAGGGCCTCATTTTGTGTTGGATTCTTAAAAAGGTCCCCCGTGGCTGGGTGCGGTGGCTCACACCTGTAATCCTAGCCCTCTGGGAGGCCAAGGTGGGAGGATCACTGAGCTTGGGAATTTGAGACCAGCCTGAGCAAAAGCAAAACCCCATCTCCACTAAAAAAATATAGAAAAAATTAGCCGGACGTGGTGGCAAGTTCCTGTAAACTCAGCTACTCGAGGCAGGAGGCAGGAGGATCGCTTGAGCCCAGGAGTTTGAGGTCGCTGTGAGCTAGGCTGACGCCACGGCACTCTAGCCCAGGCAAGAGAGTGAGAATCTGCCTCAAAAACAAAAGGCCCCCAAATCATTTAAGCCTCAGGCCTCATAAAACCTGGGTCTGTCCCTGGATGGATCAATGACAAGGGCTTACATGAAAGGAATTTACTGAATAGGGAGAAAACCAACATTCCAGTTTGCCTAGGACTGTTCCAGACTCCACTGGGAGTCTCATGTCCCAAGAAACCCCTCAGTCTCCGGCAGACTGAGGTTATGGGTCACCCTGCAGGGATTCTTGCAGCTGTAGGGGACAGTGGTTCGGGAGAATTGGGTGTCAGGAGCTGACATTGTGCTTACAACCACACTGTTGGGAGGCTGCCCGCTTGACCCGTTGGTGCCAGGCCCGGGTCCTGGCCTCTGCCTAGGAGCCCCCTGCTCTCCCGCCCTAGTGACCTGGCTTGTCCTCAGCGAGATCTACCCTGTGGAGATCCGAGGGAGAGCCTTCGCCTTCTGCAGCAGCTTCAACTGGGCCACCAACCTCTTCATCAGCCTCTCCTTCCTCCATCTCATCGGTAAGTCCTCCCCCGGCAAGCCCACTCTCTCTCCTGTGGCCCAGCCTCCCCACCCTAGAGCAAAAGAGTTTTGCGAATTTTCCTATTGTTAGCGGCAGAGTTATTCCGTGCAGAAACTGCGCAGACGTGTCCAGGACAACACCCAGAACACGCAGACACGCTGTAAAACTCTCCGGACCAGCTAACAGCTGGCAGTCTACACTTGGTACCGGCGAGGGCCCGTCTGAGATCAGTCAGCAGGTGCTAGAGTGGCAATGTTTATTTGTTCTAAACCGGCTTCAACCGGCTCATACCACCTGCCGGCTGGAAGTTTTTCTCAGATCTAGCCTGGGTGACGTCATCCCTACTCCCTAGCATTCAGTCCCAGTCTGAGGGGTGGTGGGTGGGGTGGAGATTATAGGGGCCCAGCACACCTGGTCTTCAGCAGGCCCTGCTCACCTGGGCCGAAGTGCACACGGCTCCTTCTCTGTGGGCCCCAAGGCACAGTTCTTAGGGTTCTGTCATTTCCTTCTCCCTGTGGCCAAGAGTTTCCTCCTCACAGGCACAGCCCACTGAGGGTGGGGAGACTGGGAAACACTGGTAGAAGAACCCATCCACCACGGCTGTCTTCCACCCCCAGTCTTAGGGAATCCCCACTTCTCCCTGCTGCCTCAGGCTTCAAGCATTTCCCTTTAAGTGGAATGAGCGAGTGAGTGAGAGGGGAAGGGAGGGAGGGAGGAGGGAGGGAAGGAAGGAGAGTTTATTAGAATTGTGTCATGTCATTGTTATCCCATTTCACAGATGGGATAATACATCCTTCCCAAGTCCAGCCAGATAGTCAGAAGACTAGAACCAGCCCCCCTGCCTCCCAGCCCAGTGCTCTTCTTGCTGGACAGCAGGTCCAGCTGGTCAGGGCAGGCTGCTTGGAGGAGGTGTGGCCATGGCTGTTCAAGGTGGGAATGGCGTCCAAAACATAATTTGTGCTTCCACCTCGACAAAGATCTGTGCCCCACATCCTCTCTCTGTGTTGGGCTGACTGACTTCAGAGGACTTGGGGTCATCCCGATCCTGACCCTGAGACCTTGGTCCCACCCGAGGCTCCGGGAAGAGAGGGGGGTTCTGCACCTCCCCCTCCCCCAGGACTGAACCGTGGCTTCCGTCCTCTTTCCCGAATCAGACAGATGCAGGCAAAACTGGCTGAAACTCAATTCCCTGAATGATCAACTCCCCGAGTGACCAATTCCTGGAATTTCTGAGGATTTGGGGAAACTGAGCTTTGCCAGGCTGCGTCTGTGCAGCCGTCTTGCCGTTCCCCCTCAGTGCGGGCTTTGCGGTTCCCAGCACGCCCCAACGGTTAGCGCTTTGGGTGCGGGTCAGTGGCCTTTCTCATAAGCACAAGGTGCCGTCTCTCTGTTTGTGGACTCGTGTGTGCCCTGGCTCTTTCCCTGCCCTTGGGGCAACCAGCAAGATTCCCGCTTTAGGGTTCTTAGCCGACAACTTGTTGGTCACTCTGCAAATGGACCATCTGGAACATTTGCATGGCTGAGCTGATTGTCAACGCTCGCCCTGGAACCCACCGGCTGGCCCAGGCTGCAGGGCCCTGCTCGGCGCCCAGGCCCACCCTCCTGCCCTCCTGTTCCAGGTGCCATCGGCTTGTCCTGGACCTTCCTGCTGTATGGACTGACTGCTGTTCTCGGCATGGGCTTCGTTTATTTATTCGTTCCTGAAACAAAAGGCCAGTCGTTGGCGGAGATAGACCAGCAGTTCCAGAAGAGACGGTAGGAGGTGGACAGGGAGGGCCTGAGGGGGGAAGAGCCGTATCCAACCCTGAGCACGTTGCTCCAGGATTTTGGTTCTCGTACTTTCCCTTTGCAAGAGAGCGTCCCTCCTCTCTTCTCGTCTCGCCTACCGCCTGGGCGCTGTGCGTTTTGTCCTGTCGTTGTACATGAGCTGTTTTCCTTGAGGTGTTTTGTGTCTTCCTACAGCGTCTTTTCATTTGACTTTAAGGCCCAGCTTACAGGGATTTTAAAATCACTCAATTATGGAGTCACAGGAGGTTAGGATAGTAGAATCTTAAACTCACAGAATCTCAGAGTCACAGAACAAAGCATTATAACCATGGCCTTTAAAAATTGTACACAAAACCCCTGTGCACTTAAACCATCCATTCCGTGGATATTTACTAAGTCCTTACCATGCGCAAGGCAGTGTTTGGGGCCTTAGGAAATGTGGCTGAGATTAAGAATGACAAGGTCCTTGTCCTCGAGAAGCTTCCATTTGGGGGGGGGGGGACAGGAAATAAACACGCTAACAATGCTTAAATAAGAGCATTTTAGTTGGTGATGTGTAATTAGAAGAAAATGAAACAGAGCAAAATATGTTGAGAGGGCCAGGTTGCCGCAGAGGGGGACAGAGGAGAAAGGGGTCATGGCTAAAGTCAAGAGGGTAGTCAGAGAGGGAAGACCTCTCCGAAGAGGTGCAATGTAAGTTAATAAGAAGAAGGGAGCCGCTATGTTAAGATATGGGGGTGGAGTCCAGGTAGAGAAAACAGCCAGTGCAAAGGCCCTGAGGTTGGAGCTTATCTGGCATATGCAAGGAACAGTAAGGAAGCCAATGTGGCCAGAACAGAGGGAGGGAAGCAGGACGGGTAGAAGATCAAATGGATGGGAGCTCGATCTCATCAGGTCTTTAGGTCACTGGAGGGTGGGAAGGAGGGTGGGGGGAGGGGGTTCCAGTGGACGGTCCACTGCACCGCCCCTGCCACCACCTCATCCCACCCATTCTGTTTGACAGGTTTGCCCTGAGGTTTGGCCACAGGCAGCACTCAGCTGGCATCCAGTACAGCCGCATCGAGGTCTCTGCGGCTCCCTGAGGAGCCCACCTGCCTGGAAATGCCGGTGCCATGGCCTTACCAGACCATCCCCAGCTTCCTGCTCCCCAGGCCCTGGAGCACAAGTTCCAGGTGGGCCTTCACAAGTGGCCCCACCGCAAAGGAGGTCTTTTTTGCTGGGGTGAGAGGCATGACAGTCTGAGAACCCCAAACTCTTCATTTTGAGTCTCAGACCCTGAGGGTTCCTGGGGATCTAGCTTCATGCCTCAGTTTCCCCACTGACTTTACACATCTCTGCAGTATTTATGACAAGAACAACTTATAGAGTCTGCGTTGCACCATAGACTTTCTGAAAGAATCTCTAGGGCACCAATCCTGGGAAGAAGTCTCTCCTGGTATCACCCCTAAATCCAACTGAGGATATCATGTTTTCTACTCTCTTTTTTTCATCTGGCTGGGACATTTCTGGACATCTGGCTGGGTGAGGGGTAGGCCCACTTTCTGACTCTTAGTTCTGAATTTTGTTCAACCCTTCTAATTCTCTTATCCAGAACATTTATTATTCACCAGCAACTCTGGTGGAGACCTGAGTGCTCGCTCTGGTTCTGCTGGTGTCGCCGCCATCTGACCTGGGGCCTTCACTTCCCTCTATGTGCAGCGGGAGGCCTGGGCCAGATCATTCTTAAGTTCCCTTGTGACTGCAGCGAGTGGAATTCTAAATGCTGACAACACAACAAATATTCACATGGGCCCTGCCCTCAAGTTGCTGGGTACCTCTTTAGGGCATATAAGTTTTAATCAATAAAAAAGGTAAGTAGGATTCCAGAGTCGTGCACTAACCTCCAAGAACCAGCACAGTGCATGTAAACAAGCGCCAGCAGCTGTTTCCAGGGTGGTGCAGGACGGCTCTGCAGACAGGAGAGGGGTCTGGAGGCCGACAGACCTGGTAGTCGGGGCTGCCTCTGCTTCTCGGCAGCCATTGACCTTGGGTAAGTACCAACTCCCGCAAACCGGTTTCCTCACCGGTAGAATGGGGGTAATTATGTCCCTAAGGGTGTATTTCACCCCTGGCTCCCTTCAGGGGGGTCCTAGCTGGTCCCGGGCCTGGGGGATTTCTGCTCACCCTCCGTTACCCAGGTCCCCACTTTTGGGACGTTGTAAAAGGTCAGTCCTCAAAGAGTGAGTCAGATGGGGACTGAGCGAGTGGCTGAGGCTGACGGTCACTTAAGGAAGGGGCTGACGAGCAGGAGCTCCCAGATGCCGAGGAGAACGCGGAGCTAAAATAGACCCTGGGTGCTGGTGCTGGGCCATCCCGTGGCGCGCCGGAGCTGGCCGTGCCGGCTTGTGAGAGCTCACGCCCATTTTCAGGATTTTCGCGAGCTGGTTGTTAAACGCAGCCGTTATGACAAATTATGTGACTGAAACTTATCATCAAATAAGTTATATTAAAACAAAGGTAATTAATACACAAAACTCATCACCTCTTAATCTTGACTGTGTTCTTCTATTATCTGTGCTCTTGGGTTTATCTGCATGCAGAGTGTCTTACGGGGGCCTCAGGGAGACAGCGCACAGCTCTTCCCAGTTCTGTGCTCGGTGACATCACGTTGGTTGTTGGTGGCTTAACTGGCCATGGGGAGTGTATTTACGTCACAGAGATCAGAGAGCGTTACAGATCAGGGCTTTATTTATTGTTCTCTTGATTTTCCAGACTCGAGAACATGCCAGATAAAATGGTAGTAATGCAAATTAAACTTTAAAGTGTGTCTTGTTTGTAGCCAATTCTTTGTGAATGACACAGAAAATTGCGGGAATGTTCTCCCAGTATTCGAGCACTGTTATCCGGTTCCACGGACATTTGCCTGTGTCATTGAAGAAGGAGCTCTAACATACATCTTTATTGTTTTACTTTTGTCTTCCTTGTTAATGTAAACAAATATTCCAACCAGCACTCGTGCCAGACCTAAACTTGTTCTTCGGTGCTGAGCTGTATAGTTAGCTATCAGGCATTATTCATAGTCTAATTTTGTCAAATGATGGCTAAACTACAGTGAGAGTTGACTTTGGATACAAGTGTTTGGCCAGAAAATCAACAAAAGCATTCTGTAAGAGTTAATTGCCTGTATGGAATTTATAATAAAGAGTGTTTACAATAAAGAGTTTATTATTTATAAATTATATGCAATAAACACATCCTTTATCTCAGTAAAATGTACACACACACTTTTTTCCATGGAGAGCAGTTGTTAAATATTTACCAGCTTATGTCTTGCCTGTGACCCTTCAAATCAGTTCTCTTTCCACGAACCCATAAACCTCTCTCAATTCTCTTTTCCCCTCCTGTCAGCCTACAAGGATGCTTTTCTAGTCTTAGGGTGGATTCTTCTCTTTCTTCAGCAGGGTCATAAACTTAGAGACCAGGTAAGGAACGGAAATGAGGGAAGCCAGCTGTGGTAAGACAATAGGGAGTAGTGGAGTCTGTGGAAATTGGCGAACACAGACCCTTTCTAAAAAAGGATGATCGACACTCAATTCTGGCCGGTGGCTGCCACGTAGGGATGTGGGCTCAGTGTGGCCAAATCATCTGACTTTTCCAAAATAGCCAGAAATTCAGACTTTGCTGCAAAATTTCCTGATTTTTAAGTATTGGCAATTGCTTCTAAACTTGAAAATAGCTTATGAGCTAAACAAAACCCCCTATGTCTAGATCCATGCCTCTGTTCTTGAGTTTTTCCTTTCAAGACATTTCTTCTGCGTTTTTGAGGCTCTCAGCTTAAAGAACCGTGACTTTGAAAAATCAATACTAAGCAAACTAAATAGCCAAGCACTTGAATTGGGTGGGCGGCAGAGGGTGCTATTGAACCTGGAGAAAAAGATACCTGGAGAAAATAAAAATAGTCCGTGTGTCAAACATATGAGCCCGGCACAGTTACCGTGCGACCGGAGCAATTGCTCGTCTGCGTTACGGGACAGCACTGCTTGCTCTTCAGAGACGACACGTGTCAATCACTTAGTAAAGGGCCGGGCTCATAGTGGGTGCTCCTAAATGGCTGAGTGTCCCAGCAGCCCCTGGGGACACCTGGCTGTAAACGAGGACAATGACGGCAAGGACCAGGTGGCAGTTGGGAATGGGGAGGCATCAAAGAACACTAAAAATTGGGGGCACGTAGTAGGTACTCAGAGGTCTTTGGCACCAACCAGGACAGAGAAGTGTTCTGTTCGCTGATCTGCAAGGCAGGTGCTGGGAAATCCTTCTTCTTCTCCCAAATACGCCCAGAATCACCCCAGGGAAGCAGCTCCCAAGCCCCAGTCTTCTGCACGCACAGCCCCTTCGTAATGTACGCCCATCGCTTAGCGCCTTTGCTTATCTGCCAGGTTGCACTACAGGGGCTACTGAACCGAATGCTTCTCTTTAAATTGATTTGCTTTTCCACTTAAATAAGTGTATTTTAAAAGGAAACTATATTAATTTTTCCCTCAAGTGCATATTTATTATCTGTTATGCGCTAGGTGCTGTTCTAGACCCTGAGGGCACAGCAGTGAAAGAGGTTCCTGTCTTCATGGAGCTGATTTCTAGTGGGGGAGGTAAATTAGGAACAAGAAAGAGGGGGGAGGAGGAGAGGGCAGAAAGGGAAGGGAGGGAGAAAGGAAGGATGGATGGAAAGAACAAAGAGCAAATGAGAGAGAAAGGGAGGGAAAGGTAGGAGAAAGAGAGGTCAGTCAGCGATGAGTGCCAAGGAAAGATAAAGGGCTAAAGAGAGATGGAACGGGGGTGAGATGCTGATGTTTGCGTGCTGTTTTAGCTAGGGTAGCTGAGTAGTCAGGGAGACCCTCTTTTAGGTGATGGCATCTGAGCAGAGACCTGCATGAAGGGTTAGAGTGAGCCACGAGGTCTGGAGGAAGAGCACTCCAGGCAGGTGGCCCAGCATGTGCAAAGGCCCTGAGGTGAGACTGGGCTGGGCTGGGCGTATTGGAGGAACATCAGGAGGCGCGAGTGAAGTGCAGAGTGATGGAAGAAGAGGGCGAGGTCCGCAGGCGTCCCAGTACGAAGAATCTTCCAGGCCTCGGAAAGCGCTCAGATTTTATTCTACGTGTGCGGGAAGCCGCTGGAGGACTGTGAGCAGTGGACTGATAAGCTCTGACTTGGTGCTGTAAAACAGTCCTTGCATGCTGGTGAATGCAGAAAGCAAATATTGATTACAGCAACAGGAAGAAACCGTTAAAATGCTGCGAGAGCCACACGGTTTCCCTAGATTCGTACACACCGTTGCTGCCTGCTGAGGATTCTCAACCCGAGGCCTGCTCTGCGTTGAGAGGAGAGCTTAGCAAGTGGGGGAGACGCGTTCGTGACACAGTAGCACCGCCCTAAGACGTTGTCTTTGTTTGCACGGAAAGAACAATGATGTGATTCAGCACATTTACACAGCGTCTGTGAACCACCTAAAGTCATCATCCATGCTGCTGGCGCCGTGCGTCCCACTCTTTGGTAAATACGGTCTAAGGTGAGAACACCAAGGAAGTCACGGCGCCAAGAAAGGGCGAGGTGGCTCTGTTTCTCTCTCATGCCAGACCCTCCGGGAGTGGCGCGTGGATGTGTCAGTGTGACACCAGTTTAGGCATGAGCGCGGTCCCTGCAGCAAATGTCCTCGGAGGGAGGAGTGAAGGAGCCAGGCGGGGGTGGCTTCCTCCGGGAGAGGACAAGCCTGTGTAGACACAGCTACCACCTTCCTGCTGCCTCTGAAGGGCCGGCCTCGCAGAGGGAAGGCAAAGAGCAAAGAAGGGGCAAGATGTGAAACCCAGCACTTCCCACACCAGAGATCATCAAAGCAGGAATTTCCATCCCTGTCTTGCAGTGGGGGGGAAGCTGAGGCTCATGAGGCTGATGGCCCGACTGACCCTCTCAGCTCCTGCCGGCCACCCCAGTGACCTAACGTCCTTGTGGGTGACCCTTCACCAGTCTCCCTCTCCCGGTCCCAGGACTGTGCAATCCCGGTGGCCTATGTCCCGTTTCACCTCGTACGCCCTGAACACCTTGAACCTCAAACTTTCAAGGTTTTTATCTCAAACATCCCACTTTCTGGTTGCCACGTCCTAACACTCCCGCTAAGACTCTAATGCTCCCCCACGGCCACAATTCTCTGACCCCATTGAGAACTTTGACCTGTAAATGCCAACCCCTGACCACACCCCTTTCCCAGCTTCTGTGAACCTCTCCTTGTCTGTCCTTCTTGTCCACCCTGGATGCCACATCCCAATCCCAACTTTATAATGCAACCCTTGCAAACACCCTCTGGGACACCCGGTCATGCTAGTCCTGGGTTAATGTACACGCCCATCTTCTCTTTGCTTGCACGTGGGCTGTGAATGTTGCAGGTGGTGCAGGAGGCAGGGGTGGGGACGCAGGCGGGGCACAGAGACAGGAGGCCACCTGGCCAAGAGGAAAGGCCCAGAAGTTGCACAACAGGTGCAGTCAGGAGACCCAGGCTGAGGTCCGCCTCCGCTACTTTGCTAGTTTTGTGAACTCAGGCAAATGACGTCACCTCTCTGAGCCTCAGTTTCCTCTACTATACAACGTGGGCAGCAGAAGCCACCGCTTCAAAGGGTTGCTGAGAAGACTCATCAAGATACAGGATGGGAAACCACTTTCCGAGCTGGGAAGGGTGGTGCGCCCACACAGAGTGGGGTCTGCCAGGACTCCCCCCCGAGCGGGCAGGGCTTCCCACCCGCCCACGGGCCGTCCCAGGCTCCTGCTCTGTCCTGGGGCCAGACTCACGCTCTGCATTCGTTCATTTTACTTTCCAGCTCAAATATTTTTTCATCTGTGGCATAGGGGGAGGATTGAATTTTGATGGGAGACACAAGATTTTCACAGACACCCTCTGAAAGTGTTTCCAGATTGTCACATGCTGGGTCCCGTCCAGGCCCGAAAATAATTTTATCGTGGCTAGTCTGGCACATGGTTTTGCAGCTTTCCTCCTTGTGAAATTCTGAAGTGGAAAAGCTGACAGTCTGCTTTTAATTGATCCTCACAAGAGGAAAAAAATTCCCGAGTAGATTGTTATGTTGAATGTCTCCTATGCTGAATGAAATTAAGTAACTTAAATAAAATTCAGTTCTTCGAAATTATTTGGTTCAACATTATGAGTGGTGGCACACCAAAATATACTACACATTTCAAAATTATCATACACTCTAATTTATTTATTAATAGTTTCGCTTTGTATTAAAATTCTATTAAAGTTAAAACGTGTTGGCTCAAATTTCGGTCTTCTGAAATTATTTAATTTACATACTCTTTCTTAATAGTTATATGGGCTTTTTTTGTTAAAATATTTGGGTCCTTAACAATTGTTTTTGCACATTAAATCAACAGCTTTCACAATCTGTGTGTGTTTCCAGTGAATTTGGCACCACGCGAAATTGCTAAATTCTTCCAGATTTGGAGTCAGATGCCGTCCGACTCCTCTGGTTTGACAGGTTGGGTGAGCGGTTACTGAGAAATGATCCCCAAAGCTCTCTCTGTAGCATATTATCCTTGCAATAATAAATATTACATGTATCTTTAAGCCGATCAATAGAATTTCAACATCTAAAGCAATAAAGAGATTTTTTGAAATACCTCCAAGTTGCGTCTCAAAGGCGAATAACACGCCTTGTCTGTTTTGTTGATTAGACTGATAGAAACCTGTCTGATGACAGAATCTCTGATGACACTTGCTCTGGCCAATAGGATGTGGCCTGAAGCCACACACAGGGCGCCAGTTCCCAGCCTAGACATGAAGAGGCATCTTGAGTGGGGGCCCTAGATTGAGAAACCTGGACTAGACCTGAACATGACCTGTGGCCTGAGGCAGGGCTGCTCCAGTGGACTCACACATCTGAAAATGAGAAAGAAGTGCCAGTTGGGCATCTGGGCTTGTTTGTTACGCAGCAAATGCTGACTAATACGGAATCCAACCAGGTAGGAAGTGTTTGTGCCT